CATTTTAGCACTCACTCAGCAGTCCATCTGCACTGTTTGAACATACCTGGCACTGCCGGGGTATGACCCTGGTACATTTGTGCCACATGTGCATTTGTGGCAGTCGACACATCTCACAGTTGCACAATTGTTTGTGCATTGGTGGTTGACCTGACACTTTGCCCTTTTGCCACGGCTGGGTGTGGAAGGTTGATGCTGAAGAAGTTTTTCTTTGCGTGCCTTCCTCTCACTCACATGACAGTCACCCAACTCTTTTGCAGGTTGAACCAGGAAGTCCACTCATCTCTGAATTGGTTGGACTGGAAGACATAAAAGGTGACTAACTGGACTGGACAGGTTTGGGCCAAGCCCAACCAGACTGAACAGGATTGGGATGGATGGAACCGGACCGAACCACGGAGCGAGGTGAGCAAGGAAGCTCCAGGCAGCCCAGCGTGAACTATTGAGCCTAGGTGCTTGTTTAAGTTGCAGCTGGATGAGGTGGGCGTGGGAGCCCTGAGTCGTACGGCGTGGAACTGAGAACCAAACAGGAGTGGAGGGAGCTGTGACCTCCCCCTGCATGGATCATGAACCGCAGCAGTCAGGAAGCCACTGAGCCAGGTGAGCGAGGGAGCTCTAGGCCACCAGCATGACCAAGTGAGCGGACGCTCTGGAAAAGCAAAGGCTGAACTAAATTAACTCACGCTACCATGTTAGGTACTGTAAACCGACATGAAACGGGAACACTAATGCCATGGACAGAGAGCAATGATTGATATAGGGTGTGTGTGATGACGTGTGTGTGTTATGTAGTGACAAGATGAATTCCGGTGTCAGGAATTCTGGGAAGTTGAGTCTTAGGTATGGTCTGGTGTGAAGTGAAGTGGATGACTGGAAGGTTGGAAATGTGACAATTAAAGTCCTGAGATTGGACTGGGACTTGGAAAACATAACATTTCTGGACTGGGGAGGAGAATTAAATGTTCACCATATCAATCAAATCAAAGATACTTTATTAATCCCAGAGGGAAATTAGAGTTTCAGTACACACAATTCAGAGATCAAACATACATGGGCAAGACACATGACAAGAGTTGGTGACTGTGGTCTTTTGCTCCCTGAGTCACGCTACCTTAACAGAGATAAGAGGGGTTTACATGAGGATTGGTTCAGGTGGAGGGGAAAAAAAGGCACTTCAAAGTTACCCTCCCTCCAGGAGGGCAGCTTTGCTCTGCAAAAAACACCTCAGACAGAGATATGCAACAGACGTCAGACAACACAACATAAGTGTCCACTAGGTGGGGTGGTGGGTTGGGACTATCCCTACTTCAATTCCTGCAGCCACAATAGAAGCAGTGCATGTCACCTCAGTGTGGATAGGGGGGGGAGCATTGAGGGTTGGAGGGTTGCAGTGACCCTGGAACGTTTCAGCGGCCTTCCCGCAGTCCTGCCCAGGCTGGGAAAGGAGACCGAGTTGAGTTGCCATAGCAAAGGCACATTCCACATATCTTCTGAGGGGAGAGTTTTTGTTGGAGCCTTGCAGGCTCAAGGTGTCATGGCGTGTGGGCGAGGTGAGCGGAGGTGAGGCAAGGATCCACACGCGGCGAGGAAGACAGACAGACAGGTACGAACTCTTAACATTGGTTTATTAGACACACGCTGGACAATGAAACAATGTTAAGAGTTCGTACCTGTCTGCCTGTCTTCCTCCCCGCATGTGGATCCTCGCCTCACCTCCGCTCACCTCGCCCACACGCCGTGACAGAATGGACCGACCCGTTAAAGGATCCAGCGGGGAGATTCTCCCATGGGAGTACCTGCTCCGGTGGCTAACCCCAAGCCACCAACCGGCTTCTCCAGCTCCGCCTTGCCGCGGACGGCGGCGCCTACCTGCGCCCTCGGCCGTCCTCTCCACCCTTCCAGTGCCTGATGGAGGATCGCATCAAGAGGCGCACTCGGATCACTCCAGTTACGTGGGCACCCGTCTGGCTGTGTGCTCCCCCGGGGTTGGTCCATGGCGTGGGGAGAGATGCCAGGCTCCACCGCAGACCTGTGTTCCGGGACGGAGCTGTGAGCTCGCCGCTGCCCCTGCTCGGCGCAGCAGCTTGGACACGCCCCCGGTCAGACCAGCAGTTCCATCTCCGACCCAATCGGCGCCTCCGTCATCTACAGGCGGAGGAGCGTTGGCTGCAGCCCAGCTGACCGAGCTCGTCAGTCTCCCGGCGGAGCTTGGCCGGTTCCGCCAGCTCATCAGCTTCCAGGAATCCCACCTGGACGCTCTATCCTCCTCATCTAAGGCCCAGAGGAGCGAGCCCGGTGTTCACCCAGCAGAGCTCGCCGGTCTCCGTGCTGAGCTGGCCCAGCTCCATCGGACGCTCAGCCTCAAAGAGCTTCAGCTGCATGGTCTGTTCTCCCTCCTCTCACAGTTCCCAGAACCACCCGCTCTGTCGCAGCCTGCTCCAGCGGTGGCCCCGGTGGACGCCCCGCATCCAGTTCCAGCGGGGGTCCCGAAGGTCGCACCGCATCTGATCCAGCCTGTCCAGGCAGCCCCTCCCCGCGTGTGGATCATCGCCTCACCTCGCTCACACGCCGTGACACACGGATGCCAGATTACAATTAGAAATTGTTTTGGGGCCAGACAGAGATAATTTCCTCTCTGTCTTACAGTTTGTTGGTCCTCAACCTCTCAAAATCCCAATAATGGACATTAAACTATCCCAATCCGTGCTGATTCATCCACTCTCTCCTTGATGGCATCCATCTTTTGTGCCAAAGAATGAATCTCCGCCAAAGTTCCAAGCTTACAATTCATCTTGACAATTATTTGAGTCTGTGAATTCACAGCGCAGTGCAAACCATCTCTGAGCTCCAGGATCAGGCCAATATTCCTCGACAGCTCGTTAATTTTCCGGTAATCCAGGTTGCCTCCAATACCAATGAGCAGGAAACCCGACACCAACACCACGAATATCCACACGTCTTCAGAGTCCTCCACAGACAGCTGAGATAAACAGATCAAGTTCCACTGTTTCCAGGAGTCCATAATGTGTCCAACTGGGTCTGTACCGGCAGGACATCCGGGAGCCCCTTCTCCTGTTCTCATCATTGAAAAAATTGTATCAATCGCATTGAGACCAGCTGACGAGATCCATTTAAATGTATTTCAGTTTCCAGTTTCCAGAAAAATGCAGAAGCAGCCGTGCACCCGGCACACACAGACGGACAAAGGCCTTGAGGATAAGATATGGAGGAGAGGAGGAAAAAAAGCATCTGCACCCTCCAAGAGTCGGAAGAAGTCTTTGTCATAAAATAAATCAGTGTCTAGTAACTTGATGCTCTACAAATATATTGAAGAAAGAAATAAAGGAAAAAGATTCAGAGAATCTTTATGAAGCATCTGCCTATTTAAACATTTGCCCCATATTTGTGTCCTTGTTAAATGCCCTATCGCATTGGTGGTCCGTTTTCCTTGATTTTATCTATGTCGCCGCCAATGTTCAGCACTTTGGTCAGTGCTCATGTTGTGTTGAAAGTGACTTCTGAATAAACTGGTATGGTTTGTCATCACTGTTTTGAAGCAAATGAAAACAGTTTTTTTTCTAACTTTTTCACCTTTGTCACCTCAATGTTGACAAAAGAAAATCAAAGCCTTGATTCAGACTTTGTCAAGACAAACAGAGTCCAGCGTAGGACTGCAGCTATGGAAGTTCAACAGGAAGTTTCTATTACGGACATATGAAAAAGTCTGATTTTTGTGACCTACTTTGGAGTACACTATCTGTGTGTGACTGAAGAAATGAGTGTGACCTTTGGTGCAGCGGTACAAATGAGTTGATGATTCTCTGCAGGGAGACTGAAGTGTAAATTAGAGCTGCTTTTCAGTTTGTTATGGAGCATAATCAAGGCTCTGCTCTGGCACCCTTAGGATGGAAATTAGCTGGAATGAGGCAGTGAACTGTGAAGGGCTGGGACATTGTGAGGACAGGAGCTCACTCATACTAATTTTCTAACGCACTGAAACATTTCCCATGTGAACAGGCACACGTGAAGTATTTACTTTAAAAAGCACAAGCATTAAACCTGCTGAGTTCAGTAAGTTCACGAACAATACTGTGAACTTCCTCCTCGTGAATGCATAACCTTGAAACACATGGCAAAAAGAAAAATCTAAATCATAGGACTTAAAAAATAAAGGTTTCCCAACACTTTCAATCAACTCTCACAAGAACTAAGGCAATTAGGGATTTCTAATGAGAGACAACATAGAGTAGTAGAGTTTCTGAGCAGGTTTCACAAAAAAGTCTTGAATGAGAAGATGCCTGAGGAATAAAGGAAAAGTGTTGGTGCCAAATCAACAACAACCAGAAATGGAACATTTCAGGCAGCAAAACTGTGTGACAATTAAAACTTAGTTTTTAAAGGGGCCTTATGGAAGTTTGACAGCCTTAACATGTATAGAAATAATAAATTTCTTCTTAATACATTCTCCTGCAATGTCCTGGTTCTGTAGAATGAGCCCTGGCATTTTTACTGTGATTGCCTGTTTTTCTGTAAAATCACAGAAAAAGAGAGCTGCTCGGGTCAAGCAGGCTGCTTCATGCGCGTTCACACTCTTTGAACTTTGTTTCAGGTGTCATCAAGGACATAAATGTTACAGATACAAACAATGTCACTGGTGGTTTAGCTCGCCTAATAAGACTTTGGGCTTTCATGCAGAAAACCCGGGTTTGATACTAGATGGAAACATAGTTGTTTTAGAGTTTCTTTTTTACATTAATGATATATTTTTTTACAGTAAGATGCCCAAATTTTTATTTGAGACACGCCGAACGGCATTGAATTCACAGGTAAAAAAGATGTGGGTTCAACTTTCATTTTGGAAGACTTTTTCAAGCAAGGGAAGGGAATGATCTGAGCATGAGCATTCTCCTGTCCTCTGTCCGCTGTCCTCCGGGCCACACACACACACACACACACACACACACACACACACACACACACACAAGGGACTGTCTCAGCTGTTATTTTCGTTAAAGAGCAAGTAACGTCTAAATTAACTTTTTTTTGCTGATGAACTGTATAAATGAGTGTCTAATAGTGTTTTAAATGTGTGCATTCTTTATTTTAGCATTTTGGTGCATTTTCTTTAAAAATTAAAAATTCTGTCTAAAAACCACAGTAATGCGCCACCTTCAGCTGAAAACATAGAATTTGAGTCATTTTGAATAAATTTTAGCCAATGGCTAAAGAGTAAAGTACTACGTAAACCAGTAGAGTACTACGTAGCAGCTCCGTGCCAAAGTTATAAAAGCAACGAGCGTCTCGGCCACGCCCTGTGGCGAGTGGGAGTTGGATTTGCAAGCGAGTGTAGGAGGTCAGCGGTAGTTCAGCATTAGCATATAGCATTAGCATATCCTAGTCTTTAGCATATCTTTTAGTGTTATAAATACTTATTTAGTGTTAGCTTGGCTGTTGTATATTATAGTTTAGTTAGTGTTTGGCTGTTAGTGTAATTGGGAAAGTATTTCGGGTTTAGTGTTCCATATCGTCTTAGTATTGGTGAGTAGGTGTAGTGTAGTATGGTTGCGGTGACTCTGTGGGCATTTTACCCGCGATTCTGCACGTCTCCGTTTGAAGAGGGAGGCTGTGCCCACCGTGGCTCTTCCGCGATTTAGATGCAGCCCACCGACTCTGCTCCCCCACCACGGCGGGCTCCAGTCTGAGGTGAGTCAGCTAAATAAACGTTTTAACATCTTCTAAAGACAATTCCCTACCTAAATGCAAAGTCTGAGAGACGTGGTTCACTTCCTTTAGCTAGTCAGTCGGCAATTCTGCAACAGTTACTCTAACTGACGCAGCACTTGTTGACAACATTACAGCGTGAAATCCAGCTTGTGACCCGGTTCTGTGAGGAATTCTGTTCAGGAGGTCGCATTTCAGGCTCTCCACATCATATCTGACTGACTTTTACGTTATAACAACGATCACACACTAGGAATGTTATAAAGCGCCTATATAGGAGATTCTTTTGTATATTATCTGACTATAAACTCCAACAACAATGTGCTTCTATTTTTTTTTTCCAGGCTAAATCTACCCAAGACACTGGCTGTCAGACTGATTTAGCTGCATGAATGTACTTGTCCAGGCTGATGTGAAACCTTCCCTGTAGCAAAGGTGAATTATTTTTAATAATCTTCTATGCAAACATTTTATTATCACCTTCTAGTTTTAATTTGTTTTACAGATTATTTTTACACGTGATTTTATGCTCTTTTAAACATTTATAAATGTGCTGCTTCTTTGTTTTTACATAGCCAGCCAGAATGGAGTTCACAGCTGCAGTGTGTCTGGTGACCCACGGGGACCATGATGAAAATTCATCTTCCAGAAGGTCCCAGAGCGTCCAGACCCCCTGAAAAGACCAAGGTGTGAGGTGTCTGCTGTTGATTCCAGCTTCCACCTCAGTGACAGTGCAAGCTCAGTGAACTGTTCAAGGTAAAAAAAAAATTAAAACATTTCAGAATTTTTAAGATATTAACAATTAAATAAGTATGTGATTACATCATGACGGAGGCTACTGATTCTGCCCGTGACACTTGGTGGTGACGTGTAAGCTGATTCTCCTGGAAAATAACTTTTACATTAAATATTTTGTTTTTGCTATCAAAAGTAAAGTAACTAATAACCTGCATTATTGCAGGACATTCAGCAAAATATGGACTCTACACCATGAGGCATGCACACATTAATATTCTATAAGAGCACATAAGGTGAGCAACACCACATATTGTACACTGTCCTGAATTTGTTTTCTTTCTGCATCTCATTAGCCTGGCTGATCACCTGATAACTCCTGTCATCTGGTTATGACAGCATGAGGATGTCCTCACACACCTGTAACCTATCAGCTCATCTGGCAGAATAGAGAGAGAAGAGACAACACCACATCTCCTGTTCCTGGAAAGCCTTCAGCCTTCCTTCGATGACTGAGAACCTCCATCAGCTCTGTCTCCTGTCTGCCTACAATTATTATAATAAATATTGTGTTTGACAAGTTTTTTGTGCTGCCAAATATCTCATTTAGATTCCAGTTTTGATATTTTAATGGATATTTATAAATTACATTGAATATCACATTTTTGTTGCATGTTTAACTAGCTATTGTGATTAATTAAACTAGCACCTCACTGTTAAAAGCTCGTTCTAATTTCAAGCATGTTTAAGTATTTATGGACATGAACAAAAACAGGAAATATATAAATTGAGATTTATTTAATTAATATAACAAATAAGGGGGAAAGAGTCATTGAAAGGCACATTCTTCTGGAAGTTCCTGATCCTGAGGACACCAGCAGAGGAGACCAGCTGCAGACACCAGAGACCAGCTGCAGACACCAGAGGACCTAGAACCGAGAGAGCAGCTGTTATTAGTAAATAAATAAAGAAATCAGGGCAGTTTTAGTGGGCTGAACACATTACAGAATAATTTTCTCATGGGGTATTTTCATAACTTTATATGCAGCAGACTGTACCTTGAGCCCAGGGCTACCGGAGAGCTATCCAGCATGTTTCAGTGGATTTTCCTGCTTTAACAGGTTAGATTAGCTGTTAAGCAGCTCAGCTATTTGTTGCTGATTAAAACCAGGTGTGCTGAAGCAGATAAACCTCTAAAACATGCTGAATACTAGCTTTTTGGGGCCGTGGAGACAAACCCTGCAGCTAATCCAATGCTATGGCTAACGGCTACTTACCTTTCAGAGGTGATTCTGTTGGGTCGGTTCTGGGAGTTTCAGGCAACTCACAAGCTCAAAACAATAAGACTCAGGTCCGCTTGTCTCCTCCAAATAGACTTGGTCCCTTTCTTCTCGAGTGTCTGTAAGGAGGGGGAGAAACGTCCTCCACTTCTATCAACTGCTCAGAGTGAAGGGAGCTAGCTTCGTCTAGTTAGCCATCGTCTTCGTCACTGCCGCGGCTCCGCCCTCTCGGTCCTCCAGGCAACGCCTACTAATGTTGCATTTTTTAAAATTGATACGTGGGTGGAGAAGGACTCCGAGGCTCAATTGACCCGCTCTTTAAGGAGTGTGCATGTACAGCATGCGCACCTTGTGCACGAGCCTACTATTGAAGCTGCCATTACGCTGTTGGCCTGAGGAGGCAATCACGAGCATAAAAATTCAAAACTCCGTAAAGTCCCTTTAAGTCCTTGGTGTAAAATGCCAGCCGAGAAAATCTGAAAGACAAGATAACTGAAATGGGAATTGAATCAAGATTTTGAAAGAGAACAAATAAGCACAGATACTCCATGTTACAATTATGAGAAAAGCCACTTAGTCTTTTGTGTAAAGCTATTCCCGCAATACATGTTGTAGCCCTATCCTATCACTTACTAAGTCACATAATTGGGGTGACCACTCTAGGGCAATGGTGCATCAGGTGTTAGGAGTTTGCCTTGTAATTGATGGGTTGCCGGTTTGAACCCTGGCTCTGTCTGTGTCAGCCATTGTGTCCTTGGGCAAGACACCCTTGCCTTGCCTGTCTGATGCAGCCTTACTTCTGTCAGTGTGCCCCAGGGCAGATGACTACAGTGGAGCTCCTCACCACAAGGGTGTGAATGTGTGTGTGAATGACCGTAAAGCACTTTGCCTTGGTGAAGGAATGTGGGATGTTTAACTGAAGAAAAGAAGCAATGTGGGCAGTGTGGTTGCTTTTACATGGTAATAAAAGGGCAAAGGATAACTATAATACCTGTAATTATTAGTTAAATCATGCAACTGTATTTTATTTAGTCTTCTGTAGCACATTCATTGGACATTGCCACCGCTCTGTTTAGCTTTTTCCTCAGGCTCATTATAGTGTGTGTATTAGTGCTGTACGATAGTGCAAAATTTGGTATCGATCCGATACCAAGTAAATACAGGGGCCAGTATTGCCGATACCAATACCAATACTTTTTACTACTAGTCTGCTACTAGTCTAGTACCATCTAGTTTTGTGGGATTTATTAAGATAAATAAGATCAATAAAACTTGAGTTTTCAGACAAGATTCTCATATTCTTGTCTGAAAATTCAAGTTTTATTGATTACTAAATTATTTTGTAAGTTTTCCTTAAATAAATCAGGTGTACGATGATAATAAAATACAGGAAACATTTTCAGGCAAGTAAAATTTTTATTAGGGAACTCAAAATGGTTTAAAAATGGTTAACAAACTCAAGATTTTATTTTGAAATGTATAAAGCTGTGTAAAAAAATTTCAAACGGCGCTCCTTTTTTCGGTCTGCCATCATGCAGCCACAACAGTGCTCGTGCTGGTGCGCTGTTTTACTTTTTTTAAATGTAACGACGGACTGCCCCGTTGACTGACATCTTTGGCATTCCAATCACAGTGCTTTACTGGTTTGTTGGGCCAATCACAGCGCTCTTTTAGCGAGGTAGGCAGGATGTCCCTGCAAACAAACATGGCTGCCGCTCGAAACGGTCCAATCACAGGGATCAGCCAGGTAAACTACAAATCAAGATGGCTGCCGGTCAGTAGTGGTCCAATAATAGTGCTCCATAGATTTCAAGGGCCAGTCACAACACTAAGTATGCGGGATGTTATTGGAAAAAAACAAACGTGACTAGTCGGCGGTCAGCCGCTCATTTGAAACGGCTTTGGCATCAAGTTTGGACTATTATGACTTTAGCTTTAGTTTGAGTCAAGATCAGATAAAAGTACTAACGTTTATTTAGGAAAAGGATGTGTTTTGCAACTTCTTTGATGGAGTTTGGTGGACTGCCTCGTTGACCAACATCTGTAGCGGTGAGTGCGTCATGGCTTGCCAGGCTAGAAGAAACTGAATCAATTAATCGTGCAGGTATCTAGTAAATACTCAATACCAACGTTAGATCGAGTCTGTCGATATTTTAGATCGATCCGCCCAGACCTACCGGCCGGCTTTGTAGTGACTGTTCAGCGACGTCATCTGTTCAGCATTTTCTATTTGAACCAGCGCGAAACATTAATGAGGACATCACTGACAATGTTTCACAAGACGAGCATCAAAATGAAGAGCAAGAAGGGTGGGATGAAGCGAGTGCAGGACAAAACCGGTGGGGCGTGTGCAGCAAATGTGTCTCTGTGGTAACCGAGAAGGAGAGTGCTTGTTGTCAAGAGCTCACATTTTAGTCAGCAGAAGTTAACTTCATGATTGTTAAGTGACAGTGTGACATAGATCTGTCAGGATGTTCTAATCCTAGTGTTTCACCATCTATCGTAGGCTAATGCAGGAGATAGGTGAAGGAGACAGTGGCGGCTCATCCATAGGGGTCGCCACCCAAGAGGAGGAAGAACATCATAGAAATCACAAAATATAAAAGAAAAAAACCATGAAAATTAAAATAAACAATCTATACATCACACAGTCTATAAGTGCCATGTTTAATCTTCATTTAATTGTAGTTTTAAATATGTTATTTACACTTTTACCCCGACCAAATCTTCTTGGGGCATATTTCATGTTACTTTTGAGTGCAACAATCTCTACCATAGACTAGGGCTGGGCAATATATCAATATTTTTAAAATATCGATATAATTTTTAAACAAGATACAAGATGACTTTATATGTTTATATCGATTTAACTGGTCAAACTGCTATGTTAGCAACACGTTCCATCTTTAAGCGGTTATTACATGTATTCTCACAAGTTCGCTCAATCTGAGAGCCTCTGTGTAAATGTGCTGCTCTAAACTTAGCATTTGGCATTCTGGTTTTTAATTATTTGGGGGCGATCAAAGCCAACGGAGTTCTGTTTCTCCATCCTGCTTGTGCAGAGAAAAGCCAAACCCCTCCCTCCCCTGTGTAATGGGAGACATCTACGGATAGCCGGAGTGGCCAAATTACCTCAAACGTATTGTAAGGGTTTGATTAGTAAACTATAGGGTTAACATTTTATTTTGAAGGCGAGCTCAACGGGTGAGAAATGTTGTTCCGGTTCCATTTTTTTTCCGCTCTGGGTTGCTATGCTAGTAAATAGTGATTCTGTAGAAAAAGTTGAGTCTGTAAGGTGTGGGTTACGGCGACAGTAGCCTGAAAATAATACTGATAAAAGAGCAACCAGAGACTCTGAGTCATTACATTTTAATAGCTGATATGAGCCAATACTGTTAGATTCCAGCCATGTTTGCCATAATAACTAATAACTCCACAGTGCATGACCCATGTGATCTTCAGTAGATGCAATTCCATCATCATAAATTTAGTTTAAAATGATAGATTTTTTTTTCTTTGGACAAGAAATATACAATATGGTAAACCTCTAGATGAAATGTTAAAAATAATTTTACAATAATTATTCATATATAATTAAAAAGTGCCTGTGGGACATTTGATACACCTCTAGCTCTCAACTGTGTGTGTGTGTGTGTGTGTGTGTGTGTGTGTGTGTGTGTGTGTGTGTGTGTGTGTGTGTGTTAATAGACAGCTGTACCAGTGTTTCTAAAGCTCAGACTGGTAGAGAATAGGCACTAAGGTTAAAGTTTGACAATAATCTGTCATGAGCTGGGGTGAGTACTCCTCTCAATTTTCCACCTCAGAGCTGTGTGTTGTAGGAGAGGGAGGGTCCCAGCTGCATCTCATTGGCAATCAGCGGGTCCTGCTACATAAGAAGGAAGGAGAACACACCTCGACGCCGGATGATTACCACAGCTTGGTAGTTTCTAGCCTCCTTGTGATACTTGCTTTTTGTGCTCTCGAGTTTCTTGGATTTTTGTGAACTTTGGATTTTGTGATTACCTGTCTCCAGGTTTTTGGAACGTCTCTGATTTTGCGACTCCTCAGGATTACTCACATATGCTTCATAGGATTTCTGGACGCAGCTCTCTGCCGTTCTCCATTCCTCCTTACCTACCCGCTCACCTGCCCTCCTCACTCTCCCTCTCCTGGACCCCTCTCTTGGATACACCCTGGCTCTCAACCTGCCCTCCCTCATCCTGGTACTTCCTCATCTCCCAATAAGTCTTTTCTCTGCACCCACCTCCCTGGACTCACCTGTATCTGCTGTTGGGGTTATAGGTCAATGAATAATTTTTAAGCTTTCACTTACTTTTTGGATTCTTCAATAAATTCGTAAATATGGAAGTATTTACCGATTTATTAATTAATTTGGATATTTGAATATCCACGGGGCACCACCCATTCTAATTAGAAAGGGAAATGAATCCAAAATTCTTATCAATCTCATAAACGTTCCGTGAATCCTAACGAGCTGCTGTTGAATAATTCATACCACACAAACAGATTCACTTGAAGACAAAACTTAATTGAATATCATTTATTAATTGAATCATCACTTCACTTAAGCTCCTTCTTAAGTGTTTAGCCAACAATATTAACCAACGTATTTTATCAAACAAATAATGAAATAATGAAATAAATGTAAAACAATCTGATATGGGGTAATCAAAATGGAGGGGTTCTGAAAACCCAAGATGGCTGATTCCCTCTGTCTCACCACTTGTGGAATGCGTGGGAGGTAGCTTTCCTTCACCACACTGAAAACCAGTGTGTGTGTGTGTGTCTTCTGCTCCCACACTGAGAACCAATGCATGGGAGGGGTGTGGGTGAAACCTAGTGTGTGTGTGTAAAGTTTCTTCAAACTTCCCACACAGTTAGTGACTTAAAATCACAGTGAAACTGAACTTAAACACTTCAAAAGTTTAAACCCGCTTCACAGAAATCAAGAGACAACACAAAAGATTAATCATAAATTAATATCTAGCATAGTCTGTCAGCCTGGCCACAGCTGACAACTATTTTAAGATAATAAACAATGACAAATAAAATGGCTTACTCTTTAAGATGATCCGATGGTGTATTTTGGTACGAAAAAGAAGTCGAAGCTACTTTAAAACGATCTGCGGTTTGATAGCTTATTTTGGTCTAGAAGAGATGGAAGAGAAGAAGGGAGAGAGAAAATTAAAAATCAAACTCTTGGCCGAACAGCTCCAAAGGCGTCCCCTTCAATTCAATTTCCCCCTTGGGGATTAATAAAGACAACCTTGAACCTTGTTGTTCGCGCTGATTTGATGGTTTTTCCGCTGCTTTCCAGCCAGGCCTCGTGCCTGAGTTCCGAGCTGTAGCAACGAACGTGTCCTTCTCCGCCAGTTGACTGAACAAAAGAACAAAGAACGATTTTGTTTCGCTATAATTTATAGCTTTAGCAGCTGGCGGAGAAACTGTCCGTGAGGCTCCCGCACATGCACAGAACTTGTTTTTCCGGTATTCGGCGGTGACG